AAGTACTAAGCTTTCGCATTGAAAAATAATATTAATACTTACGCTAAAACAACAGAAATTTTTAATGTAGAAAAAATAAGTGTTTTATATATATTTTTTTTTATTTATTGCTTTTTAATCGAAAATTGTGGAGAAAACTCGAGGACTCGTATTTGTGTGCACATAATAATATTAACCTTTTAAGCAGAACACACCGATATGTATATACTATAAATTATATATATATATTAAATAAATTTCAGTTCATCAGGCTGTGTTTATAGAGACATACTCGTTCACAAAAACGAACGGTATTAAAAAAACTGCAGAAGGGCGCACGGTCCGGAATGCGTCTAAGACTGGGTTTTAAATGAAAACGCCATTCCACACCACGATGTTTATTACGACCGGGAGGAGAGATATTTTCTATATTTTGAAGGAATAATGATAAAAAAAATAAAAAAACCTGCACATTAAAACCATTATTGCTTGCATTCATTTTTCCTGCTCTTTTAAAAAGTTATTTGTTCGTCCTCAACACCGCGCATGCCACAAATGTCGACCATGCATAACGCGTAGTCGTCATAGCGACTGATTTTTTTGCCACAACAAATAATGAGTGCGCGCACGCGTATCTATGTGTGTGTGTGCGCGTGTATGTGTGCAAAGACTAGTGATAGGTACTTTAAATATTTCAACTATTTTGGTGTGTGTGTCGTTTAATCATTTTCCTAATTTAAAGTGGAAAAATATTCCAAAATGATCTACATGTAACAATATAACAACAGTATACGAGTTCGAGTGATGAAGTTGAAACATTTGCAATCGTTGACACAACAGACGGAGGTAAGTAGTCTCCAGACGATATACAACGCGTAGGAAAATGGCGAATGAAATTTTTTGAAAATGTCATTGCTGTCAACAACACAATGTGAATATTCATTTCAAAACACAAGTGACGTATTTGTTACATTTTGTGTTGATGTGAGAGGGGTGAGAAAAAATCACTCGTCTGCGTGGACAGTTTTAGGTTAGAAATGCCGACTGAAAATAATTTCTCTTGACAAATAAAATGTTTTTAAGAGAATATTTGATTATGCAAAACGGAGAGTATTTTATTTTTTATTTTGCATATTAAGAAGTTATACATATTTCTTTGAAGAGTATGACTATTTTAATAATAAAGTCAGATCGTTCTACAACTTTTCTACGGTCATGGTATTATAAAAGAGTTCAAACTTCATTTATTAAAATATTTCGCCAATTATATACAAAACGATTGTGTTTATAATATAATTTTTTTTTATAAAAATTTAGTTTTATTTGTATAATAGATATTTTTAGGAACCTATAGCTTATGGTTTTTAAATCGATTCTCACTGACACTTTCCTAGTACATGGTGCATAAACATATTACATTTTGGTGTTTGTATTTGGTCAATTTCTTATAAAAGTTGATTTTTTTAATTTCATCGTATTTTTCATCGATGATTCGACAGTGATTTTTGTATTTATTTTCAATGTTATATCTACTACTGCACAAAAAGATAATACACATACTTTTTATTTTTTTTGTTTTAAAGAAAAATTAATGTTGAATATTTATAATTTATTCTTCAACTCGTAGCCCGTTAACCGTTATAACTTGGCAACTTTTTATTTATGTTCACATTTTTCAGACGATATTTTTGGAATTTTTTTTGTTTATTATTTTTTATTATTGCTTTTTATACTCATTTTATAGTGTAATATAGACGCATACAGTTAGTAAGTGTGAGAACAAATCGGAGAAAAAGAAAGAGACAGAAAATGAAAGATAAAAATATTGAATGAAAAGAGAATCATGGTTGATATCAATTGTACATTGTATTTCTTTGTTTTTTTTTCTTAATACATGCCAATTCATTCGTTAATAATTTTTAAAAAAGATTTCATTCCAACAAAAACAATATTCAATATTTAAATTTGTATTGTTTTTTGTCAAATATTATGTACTAAAAAGAAACCGTACTTCTATGTTCATTATTATTGTTTCTCGTTTATTTGTTTACAAATATAATTAGATTTTTATGTGAAACACTATGATAACTGAAAAAATATGCACAATAAATTAGATACATACACACACTTATAAATATTCCAATATTATATCAATATTATTTTATTTTAAAAATTATTTATATTTTCAACATTTATTTTATGGATAGGTGGATTAGGTAATACAATTATTCTGATAACCATATAATTAAAATTTTATTTATTTTTAGTTTTATTTAAATTCGTATAAAGCCATACTTGTGGGAGTATTAATATGTAAATTCAATTTAGTTGACAACGTTAAAATGAAATATATATTTATTTTACTAGAGAGTCATCGCTTTTATCAAAATATACAATATTTTAGATAATTTTTTTTTTTTTTTTTAATTTCTTTTTAACTATTTTAAGAAATGTCAAAATTAATAATTTAAAACAGGGCTTAAAACCGGTAAAAAACTGTAAATTTGAGACCCGAAAACCGATAAACACTTTTAGTTTTGGAATGCTGAAAACGGTTATTGGTAATTAAGGTGAATATCTAAATATTAACATCAAAGCGATTACCTCGTATTTTCAATCCCGGTTTTATAACTAAAACCTATTCCCGACCAAAATAATTAATGGTTTTTTCGTGGTTTTAATACTTGAATTATGTCATGATTACATTATACTATTATAGTTAAATTTAATTTTCCAGATAGTTTTAAATATTTTCCCCAATTAATGGCCTTCGAGTATTGCTTATCTATTGTGAATATCATATATATAGGTATAACTATACATTATAAATACCGTCATAAACGTCGTCGTCGTCGCGTGCAGATTCCTATTACAAAATAGTTGGTGGAATAGAGGCTTAGTCCATTTAGTATTTATGATATTTTAATAGTGTCGTTTTAATATCTGCTCATCCAGGTTTTGGGGGTACTGTATTATATACCAGCGTTTCTCAAACTGTGAGTCGCGACCCCCTAGGGGGTCGCGAGTTAATTTTTTGGGGGCCACGAGAAGTTTTTTTTAATTATACAGATAGTAAGAAACAAGCACATTCATCACATACGCCTAATTATTAATTAAGTATTATATTATTATTATTATTATTATTATTATTATTATAAAGTAGTAAATAAGAAATAAAATAGAATAAATTTATTTTTAGAAATTATTTGTATTGATTCTGTAAATGTAAAACTATGGGGTCGCGATAGATTTTTGGAAAAAAATTTGGGTCGCGGTCCTAAAAAGATTGAGAACCGCTGTTATATACAATATATCCAACAATTTCTGTGGCAATGTATCAATCTTTGTATCATCTTAAAAAATTATTATATTTAATTTCAGTTTTTTACCGTTATAAATAAAAAAATTATAACAATAAAATTGTTTTATGCAATTTAGTTTTTTGTTTATTATTATCTTGATCATAATATGTTTTAAACTTTAAATGAGTTTGAAAAAATAAATATTGAAATTGAGTGAAATCAACCAAATTAAAGCATATTTAGTTTTTGATTTTGTAATAATTAAAGTTATAATATCAACCCATGAATTGCCTAAATAAACTGTTTTAAAAATATGATTAAAAAATTGAAAAATATGATTTTTAAAAACCAGTTTTAATCGGTAACCGATTTCCAAAAAACCTTATCATCGATTTTTAAACGATTAACGGTTATTATAGTTTTTAAAATATCCTTGAATGAACGGTTAGCGTTTACCATACTATCAAAATTAAACGATAACCAGTTACCAATTTTAAAAAATTGTCGGATCCTACCGGAGCCGATTACCAACTTTATTAGAAACGGTTTAAGCCCTGATTTAAAAGATTTACCATCTCTCTATAGTTTTATACAAAATATAAATTAAAATATATTTCATAACTATAATTTTAAAACTGTTGTACCCAACCGACATTGCGATTGCCAATTTAAGCAATCTTTGTAAATGTAAGAAACTGTTTTACCTTACATATAAAACACAACAGTAAAAAAACAAAATCGCTAGGTAATAGAATACTTATGTGATTATTATTTTTAAAAGTTCTTGTAAACTGTCAAAACACATAACGCGTTTAAAAATTATTTTTAATATTGAAAAACATTTATAGTTTGAAGATTATACTAATTGGGTTCTTAATATGCATTATTTGTTGGTAGTTTTTTATTTAATATAAATTAATAAAAATTATATTACTTAACATACCTATATTGTTTTCTTGTTATTCTTTTAAACTGATATTTAATTTCAAAAGTGATTAAAGTTTTATTGACAACCACTGTATCCATCATTTAGTATTTAAGTTTTGTGAAAAGTGATTTCAATTTGGATTAAGAAAAGATTTCACTAGTTTGATTTTTTTTTTTTTAAAGTATAAAAATTAGTTTTTATATACAAAATATAAGATTTGATGCTTCCAAATATGAATAAAAATTCCGACTTTTTTTTAAGATATTAATTTTTAGTTGCTATGCTATAAATATTTTATCCTAACTTATTATATAGAAGAGGAATTTTGTGATAATCCATATTTCTTGAAACATTCTTGAAACACAAAGTACTTGATTTCCAATGAAATCAATTATTGAAAACCATGAATGCGTCATACTCCGATTAAAAATTATTTTATACATTTCATTTTTTAATCCAAATGAGATAAATAATCTACCGTAAACATTGGTAATAGTACTGCGATTAGTTGACATTGTTCTACAACAGGCTATTCGATTAATTATAGAAGTAGCATACGCGGGAATTTCAGAAAAAATGTTATAATTATCTCGGCGAGCTAAGAAATAAGACTAACCTAACCTTTACCAATTAATAATAATATGCCATATGAATTAAAAAAAAAAAAAAAAAAAGATAAGAAACAGATGTAACCCTGAACGTGATACATTTATTGTAATGTACTGTCTCGCGATTGTTCGATGTAGTTTTCGACCAGTTCGCGAGCGCAGAACAACCGTGCGGTACGTATTACAATATACGCCACCGACAGCTGTCGTCACGATCTAAATAACAACATCGTTCTAATAAATATTATTTGAACGTCGTCACATTTTAACCGTCATCTTCGCCGTTGTAACACTATTGTAGTGACATTGACGGTGACGGCGGTGGAGTAATGTATTTATTTTACGTGTCTGAAAACAGGACGGTCCTTACCAAGTGCTGGCAGCCACGTGGTCGCCGAACAACCAAAAGCTGGCGGTGTGCAACAACGACCGGGTGGTGTTTCTGTTCGACGAAGACGGCGTGAAAAGGGACAAGTTTCCCACTAAGCCCGCCGAGCATGGGGTAAATATACAAAGTGCACCGGCCAATATAATATATGTATACACAGAGATTTACGCGCGACTGGACTACTAATGACCGTATTTAGATACGTTACAACACACCCAATCACTCTCTCTCTCTCTCTCTCTCTCTCACTCACTCACTCTCTCTCACTCTCTCTCACTCTCTCTCCCACCCTCTCTCTTTCATACACACACACAAATATGCATGCGATAATCTGCAGGGGAGAGGGGTACAACGATTGAGTAAAGTTAGAAACAGTCGATGAAGGGAAAAAGACCTTTGACCAAAAGAGACTATAAACCGTACCCCAGGACTTCCGTCGAACCGTCGACCCTCTTTCCGTTCACCACTCCTCTGTTTTAACTAGTCTACTTTGTTTTTATTGAGGTATATTTACAATTACCGATAAGCGATCGGTGATAACCAATCACAAGTATGAAAAACGTGCAACAATGTACATACTATCTATATATCCTACTGGAGAGATTAAAAGTTACGTATGTAAAAATATAGTGAGAGAGACTGGCGGAAAGAGAGAAATCCAAAGTATAGCTATCAGTGAAACAATTTTTAACGAAGCATATCGGCTACCCATTATAAGTGCATTATTATTTTGTTAGCGTTTGAAATGTTTAATGAGCGAATCGACCTCATGGTGTTAAGGTTCAAAATAAAATCGTAAATCCTTAGCAATATAATTTATAATTATTCCACGATAATCAGTACAAACTTTTTTTTAATAATTAATCATTTACCACGTAAAATACTATGCTCATGAGTTCATGAAATTTTTCTAAACACATTTTATGTTAGGTATGTTTTTTTTTTTTTATAAATCAATCAATTACGGAACGTCACTTGAAATACAAAGTAATCACTTTAGCTAATATAACTAAAATTCTATAATATCATTCAGTACCATCGATACAATTAAATCGTTATAATAAATTGTTATATCGCACTAAAGTACCATATTAACTTATTTGTATTACCCGATTTCATGTATTATTCATTTTTATTTTTATATTATTATTATTTATTATTATTATTTTGTATCAAAAACAATGTAATATTATATATTTTACTGCTGAATAATATAATTTTAAATTATGAAAATAAATTAAGAGACGGATAATAATTTGGTAAATCATACCCATAACTTAATTACATATTTTTCATTGACGATACTTGTGTATATATTTTGAACAAAATGAGTTTGCAGCACTAAAATCTAAATAAATTGTTGTTCGCTGATGATATACTGTGGTATGTATTTTAATAAATAATGAATAATGTTTTTAAAACAATCATAGTATAATAAATAATTTACAGTCTACGTGATTTAGTTATTTTATGATAATCCTCATTTATCCAAATATATAAAAACAGTATACGGCTTAAGTCACAAGGAAGCATAAATCTAGATTATAAAAACAAGTAAAGTAAATTACTTTGAATACTCTGGCTTATGAAACCCGAATTTCCATTAAGCCATTCATGAGCAATCTATATATATATATATATATACACGTCAACGAATTTTCAAACTTTTAATGGAAATCACTCGAGATCAGGCAGACGGAAAAAAATGATAGAGCTGTTGAAATATTAAAGAAAATAAAAACTTTGAAAGATGCTTTAGGTGAAAATAAAAATACGGATCTATACGTTTGAAGTTAATATATACATTTGCACTAGAAACAATAAATTGGTAAAATATTGGATTTTCAAAGGAATTCATATGAAATAATATAAAAACAATCTGCAATGGTCCTGTACGAGTATTATTTGGTTTAAACAAGTATTTGATGAAACAAAAAACAACCACAACCCTTCATCGTTGTCGCAGCAGCCACAAAATTATCGACGACTATCCGTAATTGAAAACAACAGTGATTTCTCCTCGTATAACGGCATTCGCTGATCAGTTTTTTGTTTCAGATTTATGGTCAGTTTTTTCCCCATTTTCGTCAGAAACACACGGTGCCATCCATATTATTTACGCGTTTTTAACCAATATTGTTTGTCCGAGCGATTCCACACGCTGTCGGCACCAACATTTTAAACCGTTACAGCGGGCGTCGAGCTCGCCGTCCTCCCACCGACACCGTCATATCCGTAGCTCGCGGTTCTCGTTGCATTCATTCACTTCGGCAAGCAGGGTGTATTTAGACTTACTTCTAGGGGGGGAGGTTACTCAATTTTTTTCTTTATTCAAGCTCAAAATTTACCAGTGAAATTTTTGGTAATATTTAAATCAGGTGAATCCTTAATATTTGTGTTATTTTTTTTTTTTAATCTAATGCCAGTGTTCCAGTAAAATCATACCCCTGGAAAATATTACCGGGGGGAGGTAAGATTTTCCTAGGCATATTTTACCTCTAGTACAATTATCCTAGTTTATCATTACCTCCAGTAAGATTATCCTAGGTTAATTATACCCCCTTCAGTTGGTACGATTATCCTAGGATATTTTTACCCCTTCCTCCGATACAATATTCCTACGTTCTAAAATCATAGCATAAATACAATTATAAATTATTATAAAAAAAATTTCCATACCAACATTTAAGAAAATTATGTCATTAAACTGACAAATTAAAAAATTAACATTACCATAGTATTTATGTCGACAAAATCTTTTTAAACGTACTAGAACTTATTATTTTAGTTTAAGGTTTAGATGAGAGAACTAAATTCAACCTCGAGAGAATATTGTACGATGAAATTATTGTTGTAGCAGTATATTGGTCCTTCAAATTATGTAATTTAATTACAATTTTATCGAACCCATACAACTTGAAATTCCAGCAGTAAATATGAACAAAACATGTTATTCATAACACAATTAATGTCTTTCTTCAAATATCCTCTTCAAAAATTAATTTAGCCAAACAAACATCGAGTTTCTACCCAAAATTAATTTTTTATTCATGATTAATAAAAATGTATTAGGTACAATATTAATTTCTTTTGTGGCAAATCATCACATTTGGTTCTTTTTTTAATAAGTTTTAATATATGATAAATACATCAAAGTTAAACATTTTCAATTATGAGCTAAGATAGAAACGTATTTAATTCATAGGGTTGAACTATTTTATTTTTTATCAACATTTTTCCAGATAGTAAATTCGTGACTGAAAGTTTCATACAGTAATTGTTTACAATAAAAAAATTGAAAAAAAATGGTTCTTTAAAAAAGATACTTTGATTAATAGAAGATTTTGTGCTTAATTATAAGGTATGAAAAACAATAAATTAATAATTTAAAATTATTTCTCAATTTCATCCAGAAACCATTTCTACTTAGGTAATGAAATAAAATGAATATTTTTTGGTGCTTCAAAAATTTATATATTAATAAAAGGTTGATTCTAATCCAGTTTCAAATGTTTCGAATATTTCACCATAGTTGTTTTTATTCCATTTAAATATTTTTCTGTACATTATATAATATCGTGTATTATTATTTATTTATTTATATATATACAAAACTCATTGAAAACAGTATTAATGAAAATAAAATCGTAAACCATTAACAATAATACAATTAACATAAACGAGGATTGTTGTATTTTAACTAAATATACCCTAAAGTCTGTATAAATATCACAATTAATATTAGTTGAAAAAACTAAAATAAATAATTTACTATACATACATGTATATATATATATATATATCATCAAATAGTAATGAAACAAAACAAACTTTGTGAAATAAATAAAAGTGCACCACTTAAGTTTTAAAAATATTAATGAAAATCAAACATTTATCAACAATTAAAACTTAAAAAAATAAATACGACTGACATAACAAAAGACTAGCACACTCCGAATCTGTATGTTGCCGGAATTTTTTTCCTCTTTAAGTTCACTTTAAGTTTCTAAGCCATTAAAAACGCGCTAAGCGCGAGTGAGACGGATAAAATATTTACCAAGAGGTTTCTACTATAATATTATTATATTATATAGGTATGATAATGATTGTTGTTGATTTATATTTGTGTGTTCTGTATTTTTTTTTTTTTTTTTGTTCGCCGTCATTACACAATAGGCAGGCCGAAAGAGTTACACGGTTAAGGGTTTGGCATTTTCTCCCGATTCCACGAGAATAGCCGTGGGGCAGACGGACAACATGGTGTTCGTATACAAAATTGGCGACAGCTGGTAAGCTACAAAAAGTCGCCTGGTGCGCGTATAATTATTGTGAAATCGTTGTTTTAGCATATTGTGTGTGTGTGCTTTGTGTTTGGGAAATAACGTATGTTATTTTTAACTTCACGCGCACATGCGTGTATTGTAAATAATTTTGAGGCTTTCCAGGAAAATCGGGAAATTCGAAATAACTTTCACCGGAACAGGAAAAAAATATAATTACACAATTTTTTTTTTTTTTATTGAAAACCGATTATAAATTGTGCGTCGTTAAGAGTCCAAAAAAATATGATGTTTTAAAATCAATGTCCATACAATACAATTCAATACATATGTACGGTATACATTTGTGTACATATATATTTCTGAAATGGAAATGTACATCATCGTCCGACATTAACAAGTGGTCAACAAAAGTGGGATCATCAGTTATCTCTTACATCTTTTCTTTTTTTTTTTCCACTCAACTTCAGTAACCGCTAACAATGGTGGTAAGCGACTTCAATTACTGAGCAATTTAGATTTGGGAGTGAGAGTTGTTTCAAATTTCCCTATTTACCGGAAAAAACTGTGTGTGTGTGTGTGTGTGTGTGTGGGCGTGCGTGTATGTGTGTATTTCGTATGTTTTGTGTTTATTATAAAATCGGAATTACAGGGGAGCCAAAAAGGTGATATGCAATAAATTCGGCACGCAGTCTCCGGTGACCTGTATGCTGTGGATGTCTGAGGGACCGATAATTTACGGGCAATTAGACGGCAAGATACGGGCTGCCCACTACAAATCCAATAAATCTCAGACCCTTTATGCCACTGGTTCGTACGTTGTGTCACTGGCCTCCAAGTAAGCTCTCTCGCTACTAAATATAATATATTTATATTGTCGTGAACTCGATGTGTTTTCATTTCGACCACGTACGCGATAAATCCATACATATTGCATATATTTTATTCGATTCCTCGACGTTATGCCGGTGACCAGAGTTATGGACCTCGTAGACGACATATGATGACAACACTTCGAGTTCTGTATTGGATACGTGTTATTATATTTCAAAACAATTCATAACATATGTATATATATATATAAATCAAATGAAAACAACAAACCTGATTTATCTTCTGTTATCATATGACGATGCCATACGAGTAATTTGTTCGGCTATTATTTGCATATTCTGCCGCTATTTAGTATATATACTTAGTATATTATACTACAATTTACAACTCTGCGGTAATTCACTAAAGTGTGGAAACAGTACTTTTAAATATGACAACTTTTTCACACTTAAATACTCAGTGTCGTAAAATTATTTTCTACGATATTAGTTCGTATTTTTTTCCCTGATCCCAGGGGAAATTTTCCACCTTAATAGTGGACGAGGCAAAGTAATCGTGGGTTTGTTATGAGTAAAAACATTAAGTCAAAAAAGAGCCGAGGGATAAAATCATGTTTTTTTGAAAACTGTAGTAATTCATAAAAGCAAAAAATTATGTAGCTCAAAAAAAAAAAAAAATGATTACTCGGAATTAGTTAAAGTTTATATTATTCATTACGCTTAACCCCATTCAAATGAATAATATACCATTATTTTCAAATAGTTTTAAGCACTTAATACTTGCTCCCGAAAAAAAATAAATATTTTTTAAGATTTTAAACAATGCTAAAATAACTAAATATATATAAATTATTCTTCAGTTCAAACTCTCTTTTTTTTTAAGACTTTTATATTTTCTTTTGAAAACAAATAATACAATTGTACTGTATGCATACATTTTAAATTATAAGTATACGAGTACACTAAGACAAAACTTTAAATACTTACAAATAGTAATGATAATACGCTATAATACAAATACGCCGTTCATTCAAAATTATTTTAGACTGTTTCAACATGACAAATCGCTTTCTTTTTTGAAACGCAGTTAGCACACACAACTATTCTCGATAGTTAAGTTTATCTACTCAAATTTTAAAAATAAATTATGATTTTCGTATTGTACGTGCATAGCATAAATCGTGACGGTGGTATGTATAGATAATGGTATAAGGGATATAATGTGTATTTCAGCAACAAAATATAAATACATGATATATCGTTGCACTGTATCTGTCGTATTATACACTTTATACATTAAAAGTTCAACTGTATATCGTATTTATTTGAGGTTGTTTGTGATAGTGTGATTGAACACCAGGAAAAATAAATGAGAAACGGTGAAAACAAATGGAGGATTACGAGATAGCATTACGCGACTCTCGAAAACACATTTCCTCTTTTAATGTTTAGTAAACGTATTAAAGCTAAAATATAGCGGATTAATGGTTAAGTGCCCCTTAAATATACGTGGTTTAATACGATATTGTTATTTCTTCTCATACGATTAGGAAAAAATATCATCAGTATACCAATTTGAAAACCAAAACATACAATACCGTCCGTTCAAGTGAATTAAAAGTAAATAACTAAAGTTAAATATAAGGATATAATTTACTTTAAGCTATAATTGCCCTATTATATAACTCAAAGCGTATTTTTTTTTATTTTTTTTTGAATGAAAAGGTTGATAAATTATTTATGAATTAGTTAACTAAATTAGTATGTCAAACCTAGTTCATGGTTTTTGATAAGAAAAAATGATAATAATGTATTAAATAATATACATTACGTAACACCTCCGTGAAATGAAAGATTAAAATGAACTTAAAAATAAAAATAATTTTTGAGTTTTAAAGGTAACTGATGTACTTACCAACTTGTTATAATAAGTCTATTAGCTGTATTAATATGTAAAAATAACGTCATGAATATTTTTAACACACAATATGTTAAGTGTAAATGTTTTGATATCCATTAAAAACCCATTTAAAATTATTTTAAAATCCATTAAAATTATTGGTATCGAATGTATAAGCCTTTAATAAAAATATTTAAAAAAAATTATAAAATTATTTCAATCAATTAGATTTTTTGTAATTAAAGTTTAGAAAATATAGTTGCTCATGAAGTAAATCTAATTCAACAAAATAATTCCTCTAATTATTTTCTAGCCATTTCAAATCATATTTTATTTCACGACAAATCATTACATATTTACTCCAATGCGATTTTAGTCAAAAATCTAAAAACATTAAAATCGGTTAGGTTAAAAGCTAGGTCCCGTTGAAAAAATGCACTAAATCGTACCATAATTTTAATATAATGGCTGTTCTATTGATGAAATTAATTTAAAATCAAATTTAATAACTTATAATTTCTGCAGTATATCGGTTTAAGTATAAAAAAAATCTATTTGAAGAATATGCAGTTTGAGCATTAGCCAACTATCATACAAGTTATAAACTTTTTATGGATATATTATTCTTGTACATATTTAAATCGATTAGAGATATTTAAATGAAATTATATATTAGGATAAATTATAAAACCATTACCTATGGAAACAAAACGTTTTTATTGGTCCCAATAGATTCCTGGTTAGATAAGTTTTAGTATAAGCTCTTAATATATTAATTAATTACATTTCATTACATAATGTCAAACGTATGTGCATAGTTTGTGCGTAGAAGTGTTTAGATTGTTTGAAATAAAATATATTAAACATAACTTTGTGTTACAATATAATGACCGGACATTATTATAAAACAAGCTATTTGCAGTCTACGTGGAATATATTGAACGTAATCATAGTATTAATATTGCATAATACTTTATTGTTCACAAATTAGTATAGGTAACTAAAATTAGTACAAAGTTTTCAATTATTTCGCTGATATCAATCTATAACTATAAGTATTTATTTGACGTAAACATGCAACACGTTATACTCGTAGGTTGGACCAAGAGTTAATGTGATGCGATTAGGTAAAAAATTATGATTTCATAACAATATTACACATATATTAAAAGTTATCAATTCGATGTTTAATATATTAGAAGTAATCCTTAACAAATCTAAGGCGTGCAACTATTAAAAAAATAAATTGATTATATTTTACGGAAGGCTATTTTGGTAAGAATTTAACGCTTGGTTAAATAAAAATCAGTTTAATAATAATTTAACTATCACAATTAATTGAAACTATCGTTTACAAATAAACGACACTTTGAGCAATTATTTGAGTTTGCATATTATATCTTCAGCTGATATGTGGAATTGACAACTTTACACTCCGAAAGTAAAACTGTGTTGCTAAGCACTGGCTTAACATACCTACTTAACTTGTAATCCCTCCAACTCTATTAAAACATACTTTTATTTATTGTTTAAAAACATTCATGTTTGACTAATTCCATTGATCGAAAGGTTTAAAAATTCAGCTGATTCAAAAATAAATCTATAAACCAATGTAATTAATTTGAATAAATTAAATTTATTGCACCTGATAAACATATTTTTAATAGTAATCTTATAAATATTGATGTAATTTTTTTTTATCCAACTTCAATATTATATGATTTACAAAATATGTGGAGAAACATTGTGTAACTATATCAAGGACTTTAATAGTTATTGTTTCTGTTTTTAGCACACGAGGAACAGCGTTTATATCTGGCCACGCTGATGGATCTATTGTAAGATACACCATCACCGAAGGGTCTACCATTGAACAACAGGTTAGTAATATAGGTACTATATTAAATATTATTCGTAACAAGAAGTAAAATTTGCATTATAATATTTTATTCACTTTGATTTATTAAATTACGTTGAAAAACGTAGCCTTTGTACATTGATATAAAAATGCCACAGATTTTTAATTTAATTATAAAAGAGATAATATTTTTGTAGCTATAATTAAGAACAATATTATTATTATTTTTTTTTTTTATCCGTAAGTAATTTGTATAATTTCAAAAGTCAATTCAAAAGTTCATTTTACCTAAATATATGATTTATATGAATCCAATTCATTCAATTTAAAATATAAAAACCCATATTAGTATTTAATAAAATATTATAAATATAACGAAGAAGAAAAATACTAAAAATAGGTAATTTAATAAATTATTGTCACATAAAAATTCATCTAAGTAAATCATAATATATGAATATAAATAGAAAAAAATATATGTGTTATGTTTAAAAAATATATATATAAACCCATTTAAATGATGTTTTAGGCAAATTTCTGTTTATCTTAGAATAAAAAGGTACCTAAACTAGGGTACGAATGTAATAAATATAGGTAGGTATGCAGATTGCCAATGTTTAATCCCTAAAATTAGGACTATTTCCAACCCTTGGGGAAATGTTTCTAATTAAGTACCTATTCCATAACCATTAATCGGTGGCCCGGTGTAAAATAATTCCCAACCGAATTTAAAACTCTTGCTACGGCTTTGTGAACGGACATGTTTATAAGCGTTGTGTGCGATATTGCAAAGTCGTCAAAGATCATCGAAATAAATACGAATCTATACGGAAGAAATATGTATTTTATTAGCAATGATAAATGCGTAAATATTCAAAGAGTATAATGATACATCGTTTACAAACAATTATATTTACGGTAAACATTTATTAAATTATCGTGCAGTTTATATATATTTTTTCAATACTAAAATTCAGGAACGAAGGATACTAAAAGCCCATTAATTTACCCAACTCATTATACTTATTGGTTGGAAACTCGGAATAAGTTTCCAATAACACAGAACAGAACGTTCTAGGAAAGGGTTTAATTTTACAATTTTTTTTTTTTTAAGAAAGCGTTTCCCCTAAATTGTATTAAACATGTTCTACTTCAAATATACGTATTTTGTCTAAACTACTCGTATTCACCGAATATGTTATGTTCTAGTTAATTTGCAACAATTCAAATTATGTGCTCCACAAATACGTACGCTATATCGTTTATAAACAGGTTATATTTTATACAAATTAATTATAAAAATGAAATATTTTCGGGTTAATTGGGAACACGACTTAAAAAATCGTGTTTATTGTGTTTGAAAATTGTATCCAGTAATGACATTTAAAGTTCTAAATAAACACTGTAGTATTTAAATTTATATAAATGCGGTTGAAATGTACAGATATTTTTTTATAATGATCACGTGAGAAGACGTAATGTTTTTTTTTAATTATCATATTCTGTACATAAACATAAAATTGAATAATAAAAGAAGATTTTTATAATATTATTTAGTTCTATTATTTTAAAATAAATTTAAATAGTAACGTATTTTTTCCGCTCAATATGAAATTTGCTTATGTGTGTAATTTTTTTTTAATAACACATAAAAATAACAGGATAGCTTGATTTATAATTAAAATTTAGATGACTTTTTCAAACATCCACAAATCGGTCAACATATTAATTATACGATACGAGTCAAAACTAAGAGAAAAACAATTATCATTTTCAAAAATTTTCAATAATTTACATTAACATTTGTAATTATATTTAGGTACATTTTTTCCATTCTAAATGTTATTTATAAATTGTATACCTACCATCTATATAACCAAGTAGTTATATTCATAAAAAAATATTAAATATACATATCATTTATATACTAGAAAAATATATTAGTACTATAAAAAATATAAATATACATTTCTTATGGATGTTCAAAATTTAATATATTTTAATATATTTACTATTGATTATCAAAAGTATCATTAATTTATAATTCATATCAACTCAACTTGATTAAATGGGTATGGATCATGTTTCATTTTGATAGTATTTGATAAAATATGTCTGAATTAATGAGATTTTATTTTGATTTATAATAACATAATGATCTATAATAAATAACATAACATAAATGCGTTTTAGAAATTAATTGAATAAAATATTAAGAATTTCGTAATAATTTTCTACTGGTCAAATGATAAAACTGCAATTTACATAATCTGTATGAGATAATCGTTATTATGAGAATTGTTTATTTTTTGATAGGTTTGTAGCGAAATTAATTTTCATTAAAATTGAGTTCAATGGCTTCTTTAATTTTCACAGCACGTGTAATGTTTCTTTGTTTCTTATACAAATAAAAACATTTTTTATTGTTCTAATTATAAACCCCATGTGTGTTTATTAAATAGTAACAATTAGGTGCACCCTTAATTTGATTGCAATTATTTTTTCTACTTACAAACCAGAATCCCTGTGGAGCCAACTAACAAAATACGCTGCCAAAAACATGATCCCATTCATAAAATACTCGTATTCCTATTAACGTTCCTACACAAATTCTATAGTAATGATAAAATAATAGCAATTAATTTTCTGTTGGAAAAAATTAATACGTACTCGTATTTTATATAAAATAAACAATTTAAAAATACACCGAAATCGACTAAAATGTTTGTGTTTATCTGGTTAATTTATAATACACTCTCAGTTTGTGAAGGCATGTAACTTATTAAAAGCTCGCTGAATTTTTATAATATACTCTAAACCTATATTTTATAACTAAAATTAAAGCAATACATGTATTTTACGTTATGTTTTACTCTCAAAGAAATGGTTCTTAACTTTTTAATGTAAATTATTGTAAATACTAACTTATGCGACGAATAATAATATTCGTAGGTATCTAGAGTATTATTTATGGCTGCATTTTAAGATTTATCTTTTGCTCCTAATTATTATAATTAATATTATTACAGTTAGTTAAGAATAAAACATTATAACATAAAAAGTAATAAATTTTATTATCTTGAAGTGCATACAATTATTGTGATTCATATTCTTCCCTCCTTAGTTTTGATTAAATAATTCAACTTTATGAGTTCTTACACCTTGCTTACACTATAATTGTTCTTCACTAAAGTTTATCGCATTATTTTATCTACCTTAGTGTAAATTATTTTCACAGATGATTGGTACATTTTATTTTTCTATTTTAAATGTGTTCATAACATTTCTTTTGTGTCGTAATAGCTTATAAAATTACATATATTTATTTGAGAAAATTAAATTTAATATAGTAAAATAAGACCTGAAGTAAATTGTATTAATTGAATTGAGCTCAATTTTCAAAATTAATGTTTGATTAAAAAAAAAAAAAATAAAAAAAAAATTTATATTTATAAAATTCAATAAAAATAGAAAATACGTATACAATTCGTGTTTGGACATCGTTGCGATCACACGTGTTTTAATCGCGTACCGTCTTAATTAGCTTCCGATAGCAATTACTATTACTACTACTACTCATCGTGAACACCACGCCTAAGACGTTCGGTAATGTAAATAATAGGAGCACAACAACTCATATAATCATTACAACTAAGATCGCGTCGTCGTTGCGTTAACGGTGCGATGGGTGAAAATACGTTCGTTAAACCCACTTTTCCATATTTAAAACGTTCACAATCGAACCTCACTAGTAAATCTAATCATAATATTTCTACACCAAATAATTCAAAAACCAAAACCCAACCAAATAATGCATCAACAAATATAAAAAACACATTTATTTCCACCACTACAAACACAAAACCACTACTAGCTCTTCAAATACTAATCATACACAAAAAACATTTGCCGAAACGACAGCAAATTTTTCTTTGCCTAAGAAGGACCAAGCCATTATATTCAATACAATCGACGGCACACCACAAATACAGTATATTAAAGCCCTGGGTTCCATAACTAACCCTGCTAACATAAAATTTGCGTCTAAAATAATCTAATAAATCTAATAATCGTTTTTGCGTCTATATTGTAAACAAAAACATAGTCAACAGCATTATGAACTCCAACCCGTCAATTACTGTTAACAACCTCACCATTCCAATCCGCAAATTAGAAAACCAATCAAAACAATTATATATTTCTAATGTCTCGTCCATAATTCCACACTCATACATCACAAATGCGTTAAACAACATGGACATCAAAAAACTTACACCAATCACATTCTTAAAAGCCGGTTTTACAACAGATGACTTGTCCCACTTAATAAGCTTCCGAAAACAGACCCATATCCCTCACGATAATATATCAAAACTATCCGGTTCACTCGTAATAAATTTCAAAGACACCAACTACCGAGTGTTTCTCACCAATTACACGCTTACCTGCTACCTTTGCAAAAAAACCGGCCACACCTCTGCGCAATGCAAAAATACGTCAACTCTAAGTTAAAATCCACTTGATCACCATAATAATTACTATACTCAACTTCCAAACAATACCTCTGACTTTCAAATAATCACAAGCATTATTTCTAAAGAAACACCAAATAACATACAAATCAATACTACAGAAAACATGAAATTAGAACACTTTGAAGATCCACCTAATACAACATTCTCACCATCCAACTCCACTTCATCTTCTAACCTCCAGATGCATTACACTAAAACTAATGAAGAAAAAACTCAAATTTCAAATGCAATTCGTAAACGACTTATATTCAAAACATCTTCTTCAAAGTCACCCCCATCGCCCACCAATCTTACTCCCAAACCCCAAAAACATGAAAACACAAAAACCACAAAAAAAAAAATCAAAACTTGCTCTCGTTCTAACTTATCTACATGTACGATTGGCAACCTGGATAAGGGACTTTATAACTTAGAGAGTTTCTTTCAAGATAACTCCAACACATCCATTACCTTTTGTCAATTTAAATACATATTTGAAAATTTCACA